ACATATATACTACCCCTAAAACCTAAAACCCTAAAACACTTTATATTGCAACTGATCCAATGCCACGCGTATAAATTTACCCCACATTCAACACAGGCATGTCAACAAGTTCGCCGGGCCAAGCGAGAACGTCACTTTCAAAACGATGGTTCCCACAAAGACACCGAAATCCATGGCCTCCAAGGCCTTCTACCAGGTAAAACATTATACACGTATTCGTGTATGTATGTTTAGCACATACCCGTTGCTCACAGGTGTCCACTCAAAACCTTTCTCTATAGTCGGTCCTGGATTCTAAATACTTGTTGGGATACCATGTGAAAACCCCGAGAAAAACATCGAGTGTTTCAATTGGCTGAATATAAAGACATACAATTCTTGAGTTTCACTGCCATTGAACTTTGACAGATTCTTGTATCAACGAGTTCCTCTGAGTTTTTGAAGAGTTTTTGACAGCTTGTACATACGGCCTGTGTAGTGCATGTGTATATGGTATGAGCAGCAACACTGTAGTACACTCAAAACAAGTCCACTACACAACTAAAACCAAGAAAATGCCGTATTGGCAATTTTTGAAGAAATTCGAGTTCTCAGACTTACGGCCCATGCCAAATAAATGTATTCGGATCTAATCATTTTCACTTGCATACACTCAAAGTCTGCTTGCTACAACTCCTCCTGTGTAGATGCTCGTATTGGCGAACATGGGGGCTGTAGAGCTGCACCAGAACGATCCGTACAGCGATATCAATATCAGAATCACGCACGAGATGGTGTGAGATATTTCACACTGGAAGGCAATCAGAGCAGTATATTTACACGCAAGTGTAAAGACCCATGTATCAAACTTTACGCTAAATGCTTGTGGCTATAGCGAACGAGAGGACCATTACTTTATTTTGAATGCTCGTGAAATACTGTCGAATTGTCACCAGAATGTGTAGCACAATAGGTCGTCAGCGTATATATCTATATATATTTGTATTAGTATATTTCCTATATATATGTATATAC